AATAAAAAAACAACACTCCAAGAAGATGTAAAATGTATTTTATTTTAAGAGTTTTAAGTGCAAAATTATCTTTACCTTTTCTTAATTTACCATTTGAGGTTCAAAGAAGAGTGTTCTTTTTGCCTAAATTAAATATGATCATGTGTTGAACTTATGCTAGTCTAAGATAAATTAAATATGACCATTTTAGGCAAATTACTCTAACTTCCGAACAGGTTACCCGAACTTCTCCTAGAGGACCAGTGAGGACAAGAGAACTCGACAGCTTTATCATCCACATAGCAAAATAATTAAAAATATAATTAATTGATGACACCACAATCAATTCTCTCAAAAGAAAATTTATTTGCTTCGAGATCATATCCAACATTATAATTTGCTTAGTACATGCACCTATAACGTTCAAATTGCCGCAAATGTTATAGATCATTATAATTTGCTTAGTACATGCACATAAAAGGTTTTGTTTATGCTTCGAAAACATAATTTTCATATCTAAAGACAACTCTTAAGAGATAATTGTGTGATAAAACACTATTTTTGTGTAAATACTTATTTTAGGATTCAAATACTTTTTACGAATTGATAAAACAAATTTAAAAACAGTTCAAAAAGTGTTAGTTGTGAACGAGAAAGTAATTACATCATCTAAAATATTTTAGCGTTTGATGAAACTATGAAATGTTAAAGTAATAAACATAATTTTTTTTTTTTGCGTTTCTAATATGTATCATTCTTTTATGATTATCCACTTTTTTTATGAATTAAAAGACAACATTATTTTTAATGAACAAAAAATGTGTTTTTTTCTTCTTTAATGTTGGTCTAAGCTTATTACTTCCATTTTTTCTTTTGGTCACAAAGCTTAGTACTTCCATTTTTTGAACAATCGACAAGTCTAAGCAATGTGGATTGTTAGCTTTGGTAACATTATTATTTTGTGTATCTCAATTTATAGTTGGTTCGTAAGTAATTCTTGATATTTCAACTAAAAAAACTCTTATGCAACTACATTTTGAGATGAGATGACACAATAAGAGTGGAATTTAACAACTAACAACATATTTTTTCTCACCATCAAAAACATTTTTGTTGAAATCGGCCGGTAGTTATTAAAAATAAATTTTATAAATGATTGCATGATCTAGTGAAGAATTAAACAGAAGCAATCAAAGACAATACCACAAATCGAAATAATTTTTTTACTTCAACATTTTATCATATCTATAATTTGGTTGAGTCGTCACACTTGTGATATTCAAAATAACCAGTATCATCTAAGAACATACTTTTCATCTAAAAAATGAAACGTCACAATCGTTACAATTGAGAACTTGAATTCGAACGAATCTTATTTAAAAATCTCTATACATTTTATAGCAAAATTTTCGCAAATACGTAAGTAATTTGCAATAAATATATTTATCTTGGTATGTTTAGATATAAGATTACTTTCCTAAATCTCATGTGTTTTAGTCTTGGTTTAAATATATTTTAAAAAAAAATCAACAAAAAAGGGTCATGAGCATGGATTTTAATACATTTTCAGTGAAAGATAATCAACCTACCACGATCATGGCTATCACACAAATGTTTAAATATGCTAAACAAACAATTCTTCAATCTGGTGTTCTTTATATTCACCATTTTATGCTAAACTAAGAGAATGTAAAGATACAAAAATTATATCCATCGGTTCGTCTTTAAACCTCACCACCTCATGCTAAACTAAGAAAACTCTTAAAAGAAAATGTAAATATACTTTTGCATATTTAGCCTCTTATCTAACATGGTTTTGGGTGGTGGTTATCATAATTATAATGGAACATTATTACAAAGAATCAGTGTCAGTGTCTTTGGTTATGAAATCAGACAATTTCGATGGTTCACTGGTTCGACTCAAAATGCTCATACTGCCTCTGTAGTTTAGATGATCGTCCTTCTTACCTCAATAACGTCATAGTCATTAGAGATGGTGGTGTCAAATCAATATTATAGGTTGTATCTACAACATTGTTAAAAACTAAATACGATTTATATTACATTAGAATCGAAGCAATCAGCGTGGATGATACATTACTCAGAAGCAGTTTATGGGTATTCAAACGTTATTACCAAATCTATTCAAGACAAGCATATGAACCATTAAAAAATTTTGTTGATGTTCTGAATGGAGGGTTAGAGACCGTTTATGTGTTTCACAGTGAAAAGATTAAAATCGAGTGTTATCCC